CTTTTTGACCCTGCTCGGCTCCCTTCGCCAGTCACGTGATCTTTGTGTCATATTTGTCCCTGGTGGTTAGCGGTTTAGCTGCAGAAACGCTTGCTTCTTTTCTAACTTGTTTTCTTGAATAAACCGGCGAACATGGAAATCGGGACTGAAATCAGCAAGAAGATCAGAGTGAGTAACGATGCGGGCTGGTTTGGTTTCCTTCCCGCTGAGCGTTGGTGCTACACAGCCGCTGCTAGCTAGCTAGCTAGCATTAGCTTGCTAGCTGACGTTTGTCAGGCGAGCAGAAGACAAACTTGTTTTTATTTTCCAACCTCGAGGGTTTGCTGCCTTACTTGCGTCCAGGCAGGCGGGTTTTCAGACTGCTTAAATTGTTTTTCAGTGATATTAAGATTACTTCTGGTGTATATAATGTTGAACTGCGTGTTCTCCTGTTGGGTATTAGCCTAGCTAGCATGCTGCCCTTAGTTTGGTTAAATAGCATCTTCGATGTGTTTCAGGCTGCTATCAAAGGGAAACTCCAGGAGCTCGGTGCATATATTGGTAAGTGAATTAAATTAAGAGATAGCTTCTGGTAAAACAGCTACTTCTATGAAACACAAACCGGATGTGTTTTTTGTCTTTACACCTGCAGATGAAGAGCTCCCTGACTACATTATGGTGATGGTGGCAAACAAGAAGACCCCCCAACAGATGACTGACGACCTCTCTCTCTTCCTGGGAAACAACACTTTTAAGTTCACAACCTGGTATGATCAAAATAAGTGATGCTGAACAATAATATAATATGTAATATTTCATTAGAGCCTGTCCATTGTCTGTAACATAGGAGACAACACCTGGCATCCTTACGTCAGAATTCAACCAAGTATTCCTTATATTGGAAATGATAATGGACAAATCAGTCCATCCAGAGGTGTCTGTAATGATATCTTCGATGATAACGTTGTGGACATCTGAGTGCCTGGTAACAGCCCTACCTTACATGCCAGCATCCAGCCGGACGTTTTTATCGTTCTCATTTTATCTGCCGGCATCACCATTTGAATACGGTTGCATTTTAAGGTGGACTTTTACATCCACTGCTCAAAGGAGCATCTGTTCGCTGGTCACACTATCTGATCGCTGTCCTTTGAATCCACATCTGAGCTGGGTGTGGATTAACTCAGGGGCTGAGAATCTGTCACCAATTTGTGCACAGATGGATAAATTTATGGCTAAAATTAACTTTCTCAAAGTCAGGAAAAAAGACATTTGCCTGCTTTGTTTATATTGTGTTTCAGTCTATATTCCTTTGTTTTCTTTTTATAATATGCACCAGGAACATGTCACAGGTCTTTGCCATCCCAATATTTTTTCCTTTGGTTGATTTTAGGCTACACGGTGTCCTGGAGAAATTAAGATCTGTTGCAGGAGGTGAGCCAGTCTCTGCTGAATACATTTAAGATTTCCTTCACTTTTTTAACTGTCAAATAGAAAATTGTCTGTTTTATGAGCACTGACATTTTGCTGTCACTCATGTTTTTCTCTCCTGCTTGGTTGTTTTAGAGCCTGCGTCCCTCAAACACCAGCTGCAGTCAGACGGTGGCGCCGTGGCCGGGAAGAGTCGATCGTCCGCCGGTGAAAACGGCCGAGCAGAGGAGTCAAAGGTGTTGACGGTGTCTAGCTCGCGTTCTGACAGGACTGAAGCACGCGTGTCCAGTTCTGCCCATGAAAGCAGGAAGGGGAGCTTGGAAAAGAGTTCCGCTCGGCACACCTCCACGGTTAAGCCCCTCATGGAGCCGCTCCCCTCAGAGGCTGTCATTGACATCAAGCCGGAGATGGATGACGACCTCATTGCCGAGGACCCCGTAGAAATCGGTGCCAACCACAGTCGCACACACGGTGCCGCCAGTCGACCAACCGCTGAAATCTACAGACCCGGCCAGAGCAAGTTTACATCAGCGAGCTCAGTGGACATGCATCGATCCACAGAAGGATCCTCCCACAACAGGCAGCAGGACAGCAGAAGCAGCAGGACCTCCAGAACCGCTACCAGCAAGGTACTGAAGAAATACACGGGCCTACTTTCAAAGAGGGATATTGTAAAACTTGCTTTGGTCTTATGGCAGCGCAAATTATTTTTGCCTATCGTGCTTATTTTCTGTCGACAATGTGTCAAATAAAGATCCATAATATCGATGTTTGCCTGCGTTTTTCAGCAGGAAGAGTTTTCACGTAAGCGGAAGGCACCGGTAGCGAGTTCTGTCATACGAGTTAACCGAGAAGCAGACGAGGACAGCGACGATGTGGAAGAAGAGGACACAAGTTATGGCGGCAGAGGCCTGTCCAGCAGAGTGTCGCTCCCCTCCAAACCAGAACGGAAGTCAGTGTGAACACCTAATAGCATCCTCAGGCTCAGTGTTTGGTGTATATTATTTTATCTGCCTCATGGATCCCTTTATGTCTGGACTTTGTCATGTGTGTTGTTTCAGACCTACCCTCCCACCAGCCAAGCAAGCCAACAGAAATCTGATCCTGAAGGCCATCTCTGAGGCGCAGGATTCCATCACCAAAACCACAGCTTACCCGACGAGTACGTTCCCTGCTGCTGAACATTTACCCATAACCACCCTGTAGCTGTTGCTGTAACTCTGTTATACTGACCTTCATCTGCAGTACCACAGAGACAGACTGTTCCTGTGGCGCCTCGTACTCGCCTGGCCAGCAGTGAAGAGATGACTGCAGCCATCCAGCTGGTGCAGGAGCACCTCCACAGCCTGGCGCCCAGGATGCAGGCGTACACCTCCACAGATCTACCTCCCTCCAGAACACCTGGTGGGTTTACATCTTAACTTTAATGTCTTTAATGTGCACTGCTTGAAAAACCCACCCGTCCAAAAGCCGGGGCGGTGATTAATGCTCTCACTGTTAGGTGATATAAATAATACGTGAAAGTAAAAAAGTTTTCAGTAGGAAGCTTCCAGAATGCTACAACAACGAGAAAGCTGACAGTTGTGGGTTTTTTTCAGTGGTATAACCAAAACACAAAGCTGGGTTGGCCAATCAGAAGCCTAAGAAAGAATCATACGTGTGGATGATTGTGGAAGAGTGACTGTACATTTATGTGTAAAGTCTTGTTAGCATAGTTAGCACCAGCGCTATGCACAAAAACACTTTATGTAGACAAAGGAGATAACGGTGCACACGCTGACTCTCACAACCAAGAACTCACGTTTTCCTGTCTACATGTGAAACTGGATTTCCTCAGTATTACCACCAAGAAAGAGTGTTTCCACAAAGTCAGTCCTCAGTGACCTACAGCTGTATTTATTCTACGACCAACAACCAAATCACAGAGACAAAGCTCCAGTGTAAAAATACCTGTGTGTGTGTGTGTGTGTGTGTGTGTGGTCTGAGTGTGTGGTCTGAGACGACAGGACAAGATGTTGTTTTGAACTCTCAAACCAAAAAACGCCAAAATTACACCTTTATCCTCAGCAAGACACTTTTAAAAATAAAGAATCGTCAAACGTACAAGTTTCCCACGGTCCTTATCATATCGTCTTACTTTCGTTTTCACCTGAAAAATGTATCTTGATGTGAGCTTAAAGCTGCGATTTCATCACAATCTTCTGAATCTGTTTCATCCTCTGCTTCAATGTTTCACTTCTTCCTCTCAGTTCAAGCCAGATCATTAGCTTCACGCCTTCAGTTGGAGGGCAGCGACGGAAGAGAGCACAATGAGTATGGTGCGTCTTTTTACTCTTTTTGTTTTTTAACAGCATTTTTTTTAGACAAACGTTATAGTATTTGAATATTTGTAAGCTGTTATTCCCCAGTGAAATTCACACAACTTCAAACATCTGAAATTGAGTAAGAAATAATAAATACAGTCGTGACTCGATAAT